GCCCTTCCCGAGCGGGCAGCGGAAGCGCACGTGGTAGTTGGAGCAGCGGCGGCCGCGCGGCTGCTCGCGGTTCAGGCACCAGAAGCCGCGCGTGGGGTTCGAGTGCACGCGCTCGCCGACAGCGGAAGGCAGGGCCCAGTCCGTGGTGCGCGCCTCCATGGCCAGCGGTCGCGGGCACACGCGCGCTGGCCCGTAGTAGAAGCGGATGGCAGCCAGGCTCTCGAAGTCGCCGTCGCCGCCCGGGTGGTCCACATTGAACCAGGACGTCCACTCGCTGGCCTCTGCGGGCACCGCACACGCTGGGACTCGGGCCGCGGCCTGTCGGTCCCCATCAGTGCGTGCAAGGGCCTCCCCTGCGGTCTGAGCTCTCTCCCCCACAAGGGCGGCTCAGCCCAGATGAGATCGAGACCTGTGACAGGACGCACCACCACCCCACGCCCCCAACGCACCGCCCCAGTCCTGGGTCTGTGTCCAAGGCCTGAGCTGGCCCGGCCATGCACGCGGAGACTTCGTCGCTGTCTGGACAAACCTCTCCTCTCGGGCATCGCTTCCAGGGACAATGACGGTCCTGTCTGTGTCCCCTCCTTACACGACCCCACCTGCCCGAGCTCACACGACAAATCCACAATAGAGACCTCACTCCGGCCCAGGCCGACTCACCTTCCCAGTCCTCCAGGGCTGGCGATGGCTGGCCAGGGTGCAGCCGCCGTCCTTCCAGGCTCCAGGAAGTCCTGGTGGGCTCCTCGGAAAGGGTGGCTTCTATGGAAGCAGTAAGGGTTGGGGGGGAAGCTTGCTGAGGGGGACCTGTAAGCTTCCTCTCATGGAGGGTGAGTCATGACTCACCACCCCTAGTTTTTGGTTTGTTTATTTTCCTATAGAGCTTGTGCACTCGCCGGAGAGAGAAAGAGAGAGAGAGAGAGAAATCATGTCTCCAGAGGCAATGGCTGCACCACAATCCCTTCTCCTCTAATCTCTGCTCAGGATTTTGGGTTTGCACCCACATGTGCCTGATGTGTTCTTCTTTCTTTCTTTTTTTTTTTCTTTAAGAATTATTTATTTATTGGGACCAACAGCGCAATGGCTATGTTGCTGGACTTTCATGTAGTCGACCGCGGTTCGAGTCCTGGACCCAGTGGCTTAAACTCACGCTGGGCGTGTGTGCGTGCGTGCCCAAGATCCCGAGAGGAGAATGGAGGAGAAGGGATTGCAGTGACTGCACCCCCTGGGGGTGATTTCTCACTTTCTGTCTCTCTGTCTCTCTCTATCTCTCTGGCGAGTGCACGTGCCCTGTAGCAAAAAATCTCTCTCAAAAAAAAAAAAAAAAAAGAATTATTTATTTATTGGGACTGGCAGGTGGCATAGTGGTTAAAGACCCTAGACTCCCACATGGCTGACTGTGGTTTGAGTCTCAGACCTGGCAGCTTGCTTTCTCACTTTCTCTCTTTCTTTCTCCCTCTCTCTCTAGTCAAATTAAATAAATAACAATACAATTAAATAATTTTGAAAAAGAATTATTTGTTTATTATCATTATTTTAAATTTTTGACCAGAGAGAGACAGAGAGCAAACGCCAGGTCCAGGACTTGAACCACAGTCAGCTATGTGGGAGTCCAGCACTTTTCACCACCACACCACCTGCTGGTCCCAACCTGATGTATTTTTCAAGCCACCGAGTACAGGACTCAAACCTCAGAGTCAGCCATGTGGGATCCAGTGCCCTAACCTCCACGCCACCTGATGGCCTACTATTCACTATTTTACAGGGACTGAAAATGAGGCTCTGAGAAGCTGGAACCCCGTTCGAGCCCTGGGGACTGCAGCCTTCCTATGCCCAATCCTCAGGCTCCTGCAATCGCATTCCTTTTTAGGGTCTGTGTCCCACACCCCATTCTGTTCCCTAAGCCCAGGTCTCCCCCTCCTAGCTCGGCGGCTGGATTCCAATCCCTGTGGCCAGCTGGAAGCTCCTCCCGCACTCTACCTTCCATCCTTGCCCTGAGAGCCCAAGCTGCCAACAGGAAGTCTTGGAATCCAGCCTGGAGCTGGAGAAAACAGCCTGATGACCTCGGATCCTCCCTGCCTCCGCAGAGCCTCAGTCTTGTCGTCTGAGAAAGGGGTTCGATTCCCCCCGCTGAGTGTTCCCGAGAAGGGGCTTTCTTCTCAGGGCAAGGTGTGTGTGGGCATGGGTGGGAGTGAGGCTTCAGCCAGGGACGAGAACTAGGTTGAATAAGGTTCAAGGGCTGGGGCTGAGAACGATGCCCCAACGTCCCCCCCAAAAGAATCTGAACTTCTGGGACCAGCAGGTGGTGTGGTGACTAAAGGGCTGGACTCCCACGTGGTCACCCATGGTTCGAGTCCCAAGTCTGGAGGCTTGCTTTCTCACTTTCCCTCTCTCTCTCTCTCTAGTGAACACAAGTACCCTATAGAAAATAATATAATAATAAATAATTAATAATAATAATTTTTAAAAAGAGCCTGAACTTCCTACCCACGATCCCAGCTCCCATACCGTTGGAGGGAAGAGAATGGACGAGGTCCCTTTCCCACCCCATGCGGTCCCGAGGCTCTGTCGTTCCCCCAACCCCCGTCATTCTCCTGTCGCCCCCCGCTGGCGAAGAGGATGCCTGCCCCCGGAACGCGCGGGTTCGCTTCCCCGACGCGCCTGTGACCCAGGCTGGCTGCCAGGCGGTTGGGCGTTCAGGGTGTCGGGCAGGGGTCTGAGGGCGCCTCACCTCGGGCCCCCGCCAGGTGCACAGCAGCGGCACAGAGACAGAGCAGTGGCGGCAGCGATGCCATGGCCGGGTCCGAGCTCCGAGGGGAGGTCCAGGCTGCGCGGCGCGCTCGGGTCGGACTCGAGCGAGCGCGGCTGGAGCAGGGACTGAGGCTGGGGGGGGCACGTGGCCACAGACCACGCCCCTTCGACCACGCCCATCTCAGACCACGCCCCTCGGCCCTGGGTGACTTCAGGCGGGAGCAACCACCCTGGGTCGCCCCCTCGGTGCTTCCTGCTGCGCCTCCGCCCTCGGGCTGGCCTGGGTTCCCCAGTCGCCGGCCGGAACTCCCTCCCTTAGCCCAAGTGAGGTCCCAAGCGCCTGCGGGAATGTGCCACTTGGCCTGGGGCCTGCAGCCGCCTACATCTTTGCACTAGTGGCTGGAATGCCTCCGACCTGGCTGAGATGGAGCCTCTGTAGGCTTTTAGCCTCCCCGAGCTGTCTGGGAATCCCACCCTGAATCTGCTGGGTTTTTAAAAATTCATTAATTAATTAAATTCCATTTGTTATTTTTGTTTTTTAAAGTTGACCAGAGAGAGGGACCAGCAGATAGCGTAATGACTATGTCGTTGGACTACCATGGTTCGAGTCCCGGACCCGGTGGCTTAAACTCACGCCAGGTGCATGTGCGTGCAGGCCCAAGATCCAGAAAGGAGAATGGAGAAGGGATTGCTGCATGGCCATCCCCGGGAGGGTGGGGCGTGGGGGGTGATTTTTCGCTTTCTCTCTGTCTCTCTCTGTCTCTCTGGCGAGTGCACACGCCCTATAGCAAAAATCTCTTCAAAAAAAAAAAAAATTGACCAGAGAGAGAAAGGGAAAGTGAGAAAGCAAGCCAGCAGGTCTGGGACTAGAACCATGTTTGGCCATGTGGGAGTCCAGCACCTCAGTCATCAGGCCACCTGCCAGCTCCATTATTAATGTTTTTTTTGTTTTGTTTTGTTTTGTTTTTAAGAATTATTGAATTTTGGGGCCACCAGGTGGCATGGTGGTTAAGGGTGCTAGAATCCCACCTGGCTAACCGTGGTTTGAGTCCTGAACCTAGTGGCTTGTTTTCTCATCCTCTTTCTCTCTCTTGCCCTCTTTGGTCAAATTTAAATCAATAAATAAAGTTAAAAACAATCTTTTTTTAAAAAAAAATCTCATAAAAAAGAATTATTGAATTTTATTTATTCATTCATCTATTATAAATATTTTTTAATTCGACCAGAGAGAGACACAGAGAGAGGGAGATAGCGGGGAGAGAGAGAGAGAAAGAGAAAGTGAGAAAGCAAGCCACCAGGTCCGAGACTTGAACCGTGGCCAGCCATGTGGGAGTGTCTAGCGTCTTAACCACCACGCCACCTGCTGGTCCCCCATTATTTTTATTTTTAAAAGAGATTTTTGTTATAGGGTATGTGCGCTAGCCGGAGAGACAGAAAGTGAGAGATCAACCCCCCAGGGGGATGGCCACACTGCAATACCTTCTCCTCCGTTCTCTCAGGATTTGGAGCACGCACACACAGGCGCCCCGCATGAGTTTCAAGCTGCTGGATCCGGGGCTCGAACCAGCGACGTCGCCATCACAGCATGTGTTGTTCCCAACTCTGATTCTATGATCTGCTCTATTGGCTGGAGATTTCCAGGAGGCCCAAGGGGAAGTCCCGCTCTCCATCCACCCTCCACCCCTCCCAGGGAACTCCCAGGAAGTACCCCCTCGGGTTTGCGGGGTGCACAAAGGAGGCAGAGGCCTAGCGGTGGTGGGAAGTCTGTTTATTGGCACGGCCGGCGGTCACAGCGCCGCCACGCAGTCGGTGCCCGTGTACCCCGGCAGACGCAGAGCGAACTTGCGGCGCACGTCGTCGGGCACGAACCTGCCGGCCACGAAGTGGTGGCGCCCGGAGAAGCGGCCAGCGCAGCGCTTGGGCGCCGCCAGCGACACCAGCACGTCGGGCCGCAGCCCGTCTTCTGCGTCCCCGCCGGTCTCCGCGTCCCAGCCTGAAGGGGGAAGAGGAGAGAGGCGAGGGATCGGGAGCTGGGAGGGTGGCCGGCCCTGGGATTCGAATCCGTCCCTGCCTCCCTGTCCCCAACGTTGAGCCTCTACCCTCAGATCGGAGGCCTTTTGCCCCATGGTCTGCTTTCCCTGTGCGCCATGGACCGGCCTGACTGTAAACCTGAGCCTCCCTCTGCCCTCAGACTCTCCTGCTTCAGCTGTGCAATCTCCCTCCTCCATTGGACTCAACATCTGTCTTCAGGTGACCATGTTCCCCCATGCCTTTTTTTCCCCTCATTATTATTATTTTAATTCGATCAGAGAGAGACAGAGAGAGGCAGAGAGAGAGAAAAGGAAAGTGAGAAAGCAAGCTGCCAGGTCCGGGACTCGAACTGGGATGAACAATGGAATCCAGGGCTGTTAACCACCATGCCACCTGCTGGCCCTGTTTCCTAATGCCTTTTGGGTCCATGTCTCTGCCTTCCCACACCTGGCCCCGACCCTCCCTCCCCACCCATATATATATATATATATTTTAGTTTTTTTTTTTTTTTTTGAGAGGTTTTTGCTATAGGGTGCGTGCACTTGCCAGAAAGACGGAGAGAGACAGAAAGCGAGAAATCACCCCCCCAGGGGGGGTGGCCACGCCACAATTCCTTCTCCTCCATTCTCCTCTCGGGATCTTGGGCATGCACGCACACGCGCCCGGCGTGAGTTTAAGCCACCGGGTCCGGGACTCGAACCGCGGTCGACTACATGGGAGTCCAGCAACATGGCCATTACACCAGCTGCTGGTCCCCAGCCTCCCCACTTAAACTAGAGCCTATTCCCGCCCAGACCTTCCAGCCAGACCCTGCCCTCTGCTCTGACCACAGACCTGCCTCCAGCCTCCCGTCAGCCTCCACCATCAGGGGACCTGTCTCCTTGTCCCAGGTTCTAACGTGTCACCAGTCGTGCCTCGGTCCCCCCCAACTCCACTGGACCATCCACCCTCCCCCATCTGTCTGGAGCCTTTTTTGGTCGGTCTGAGATTCCTGCCTTTATCCTTGGACTACGATCCTGCCGTTCATTTTTTAATTATTTATTTAATTCCATGTGTTATCATTATTATTATTTTAATTTGACCAGAGAGAGACAGAGAAAGCGAGAAAGCAAGCCGCCAGGTCAGGATTCAAACCAAGGTCGGCTGTGTGGGAATCCAGCGCCCATATCTACCACGCCACCTGCGGGCTCTCATTTTTTAAAAAAATTATTTATGTATTTAATTTTGTTACTGTTTTTCTTTTACATAATTATTTTACTTAACCTTATTATTAATTTGCCCAGAGAGGGACAGAATGAGAGAGAGAGAGAGAGAGAGAAAGTGAGAAAGCAAGCCACCAGGTCTGGGACTCAAACCGCGGTTGGCCATATGGGAGTCCAGCACACCTAACCACACCCCCTGCCAGCCCCATTGTTACTGTTGTTTTTTTCATTTGACCAGAGAGAGACACACGGAGAGAGATAGAAAGGGAAAGTGAGGGGGCCGGCAGGTGGTGTAGTTAACAATGCTGGATTCCCACGTGGTTGACCATGGTTCGAATCCCGGACCTGGTAACTTGCTTTCCGCGAACCGCGGTCAACTACGTGGGAGTCCAGCGACATAGCCATTACACTAACTGCTGGTTCCTGGGTTGTTTTAATGTTATTAATTTTTCACTTGAAATTAGTACATATCTTGATACCTTGTGGGGAGGCATTTAGAAACTTTGCTAATATACTATTCTCCTTTGAATTTTTATCCACTAATTTCAGGATACATTGGTGGATCTTTCTTTTAAAGAATTATTTTTATTTAACTTTATTTATTAATTATTATTATTATTTTTAATTTGACCAGAGAAAGAGAGAGAAAGAGTGAGAAGGTGAGAAAATAAACCACCAGGTCCGAGACTCGAACCATGGTCAGTCATGGGGGAGTGTCCAGCGCCTTACCAACCATGCCAGCCGCTGGTCCCTAAGTCAGTCTCCCTTTCCTAACCCTAGCCTCCACCCTCAGAGTAGAGGCTCCCCGAGAATTGGCTACCAGTTCCGAGAGCCCACAGCCTCCCCAGTCTGAGTGGGGAGAG